GATTTTGGGGTGAGAATGCTTAACAGTTCCTACATTAAATATTAAAAACATTCCCTAAATATGAAATCAAGTGTATTCTATTAGGCCAATCAGTGGACCCAGTGCCAAGTGGACCCAGCTGGACTCCACCCCCCACTAGCGAATTAAAAGTGTATTCTATTGTCAATGAATGTCTGTAAAAGCATCCTACACTCACAAGGAAGGATTTGATACTTCTCCAACTTTGAGAACTCTCTAACATGTACATTTAAAAAAAATAAGAAGCATTAGTAAGCATATACTAATGTATATAATTCTGTGTATATTTTTCTGCTGTATCCCTGTGTGTAAAATGATTTTCTAGGTTCATTGCCATTTATGAGTGTAATCACATCACTTCAGGGCATGCATTCTCAGAAGGCTACTGGAGGGAGAAAGAAAAAATCTTCATAGATCTGCTCAATTATTAAAAAATTACTGTACAGATATCATCGGTGTAGGAAGAATGGCCTAAGCATGAGATCAAAGTGGTTCTGGAAATATAGCATAATTCTTACATGTTCACTATATAATACAGCATCAACATAAATTAAGAACTCTGACATTAATGACAAGGATAAACAAAACTACATGGTGTATTTAGTCACTGTGAACATTAATCCACTGCAGACTTGATGATATTAGATATCACATGGCATTGTTTATTCACAAATAATGTGTATCATGTCAGAATTCAGAACAAAGTAACTTCTGAAACATCAGTGCTTGGATTATGGCGAAAGAAACGGTTTCACTCATGTCAAGCATACATAGCAGGAAAGCTGGGGCTCACTGATGGTGTTCTGAAGGGAGGGCAGTTGCTTCACTATGCTGGGCCTGAAGTGCAAGACTTTTCTTTAGTCTGGCTGAGGATATGGATATCATGGGGGGGGGTTATAGTTGGAAATACAAATTCCCTAGGACAATATGTTGCTGTAGAAATAGTTCTGCCTATGCCCACCAAAAAGTGGTACAGATTGTGAGCAATTGCTTCTTCTTCAGTTGAATGAACCATGTGAAACAGAGAGAAGTAGACTGATCTGAAGGATCTTAAGGCCCCCTGTCTCAAGCTATAACTTAGATCAAATAAACTTCCATGACAATGTGGTGCAACAACTCCATAGCATTTCAATAGTCTCTTTGGATACAGTTAACAGACTGAGATGTTGATACAAGAAATCTTGTGAATATTGAGGCCATTCAGGTAAGTTAGGAAATGTCCAGCCTTGGGAAATGAATGTGCAATGTGAATGGTGAGAGATACGAGTAATCTGGTTAACATTTGTATGAATATTCAATCTGTGAGAGATAAGTCAAATCAGATGGATGTGAATTGTGCAGAAGAACAACTAATTAACTAATTAACCCTTGTGTAAAATCACAGGTTTAGTATGTGAGGAGAGTGTCATTTAGACTCCAAGGGCCTTTAGAAAGATGTACAGTGGAAAGTTTAGGAAAATGGCATTGGGAACTGCAACCTGGGTGTCCCATTTTGCAGCTATAACTCAATGAATCCATAGGCTTGACATGAGGATGGCAGATTTCACAGTACTTAGAGAGCAATGCCCAGTACCTGGAGCAGAAAAAATACTGTAGGATCTTAATGGCAGCACAGCATTTACCTACCAGGATTTTAATCTTATCCTCAAACTGATCTGGCCCCTAAAATATAGGGCAATTAAGGAATTTCAAACACAGAAAGATATGTTTCAGTATAGAAGACTTGTTTCTGGAGCAAACTGTGCACCTCAAACACATCAGAAAATTGCTGGGCAGGTGCTTTGAAAATGTCAATGGCATTAAATTTTCTTTATGATAGGGTTGCATATGGGACAGATGAAGAAGCTGGATGCAGGATACATATTAGTCTCTGATAAATATAAGTCTAGTCTCAAGGAACTTATATTTACTGGTCATCAAATTTCTTCAACAGGCATTATGCCATCAGAGGAAACCCACTCTGTAGTCAAGGAATTCTGAACACTGCAGACAAACTTTGAAATTTCTGTTCAAAGTTTGTAAAAACTTTTTAGCAATTAACGAGTCTCTTCGATGTCTAATTTACAAAAACTGTAGATATCTGTCAAATGACAAATTAAGAGATTCCTGAAATCCTGGAGGACCAAATTTCTTCATCACATGCCCTGGAATATTTCAAGTATGATGCCAAACAATAATTTTAAAAGGTTTTCAATCCTTACATGAATCAGATATAGTTACAACCTATTATTAAAGTTAGTAGAAATCCCTACTGCCCTGCATATAAAATCTTCTACGTAGTTGTCTGTTTTTTAACATAATTAATGTGAGTGTATTTTACTGATAATTATAAAATAATTGATGTCTTGAGAATATAGTGGATTTATGATTGTGTGACATTAACATGCAGAAAATGGTTTAAATGGGACTTATATCACCATGGCAGTTAGTAACTTATATGGCAAAATAATTTACATAACCATCTCACAGTTTAGGTGCTGTAGGCTATATTTTTTTCTCAGATGTTGAGATAAGAGTGTGGTGAAGTACTGCAATAGTTACCAAAATGCTTCTTTAGGCAAAGCACCATTAGGTCAGTGATACAGTTAGATATAACCTTTAATACCTTTTAGGAGAATATCTAAAGGAATGCACAATTTGCAGTGAACTAAATATTTTGTGTGCATGTGTGTGCGTTGGTGTCTGCACACATCAAAGAAGCCTTATAAACTCTACAACTGTCAAGTTTTGTTCGACCAAGGAAACATATTCCTGCAGTACTGCCCCATAATAACTGAAGTGAATATTAATTCTGGCATATAATTAGTTACTATAGGATTCTGAAGATGGTGTATAACACACTGATATATTGGGTTTTTGGACTTTATCCATCATCCTGGTTTTTAAGATAACTAATAAAAACACGACATTTCAGAAACTGGATCTGTTTCCGTCCTCAGGTGAAGGAAAACACCTATTCTGTTGGGTCTGTTAGAAAGAGCTAGCCTCAATCACTGGACCTTTGGTCCAGAATAGGTGTTTTCCTTCACCTGAGGACAGAAACAGATCCAGTTTCCGAAACGTCGTGTTTTTACTAGTTATCTTAAAAACCAGGACAATGGATAAAGTCCAAAAACCCAATATAT